ATTTAACGTGCGTTGCACGTTCGTGGTAATGCCCAATGCCATTGTAGGGATTAATTCATCGGTGTAGGTTGAGTCAATATATGAGTAATATCAATACAATATTTGAATACCCCTAAATGTGCATGGAGTACAATAAGCGAATGAACAACGAAAGAAGGGACATTTTTCCCATGACCACTATACCTCTAACAATTTTCATGCTTATTAGAGAAGTAGATATTATTTCATATGCCTCACTACTAAGTAGACCATGAACAAAGGGGAAAGGAATTGACAAGCTCTCATAGTTCAAGGTTCATTAAGTAAACTACCTAAACTCCACGTCTAAAGTCTACGCCAAAATGCTAAATGGTTGAAGTTGTATTTTCATTTTCAAGAAGGGGATTAAAGACCAAGTACATACATGATCACTTAGAGTCTGTTTAGTAACACCCAAATCGGTTGTATTGACTGATTCTGCTGAAATTTATGAAGTTCTGGCTCAAGTGGTTGGATTGGCTGATGCCGTTGATTTATGAAAAAATATATTCAAAATAAATTTTATTAATAAAATAAATAAAAAAATTATACGAAAAAACATATGAAATGGTCATCTACATTAACATCGGCCAATACAGCCAGAAAAGTAACGTCAACCTTACATTTTCTTATTATTACACAATTCAGCGCGCAGAATCAAATATTATGTGTTTGGTGAAAAAATAGGTTGATAAGCCTGATAATCCGAAAAACATGGTCACCAAACGAGCTCTTAATAAAAATAAGATTCATCTTGCAACATTATTTGATTTTACTAAACCCCTAAAATGTGAACAAACATAAAGTATACACCAAACCTTTTATTTTTAGTTTATTTTCAAGAATGGCCCTCAAAATCAAGAGTGTAATATAATACTACGTAATTATTTTGTGATGTGCACAACTGTAATATGGATAAAGTATTTAATTTTTCCACCTAAATCAAATAATATAACAACTAAATTAGACCATCTTAACACTTTAACAAATGGATAGTATTTCACCGGCCTAACGGTATTAAACGCCTAACCAAAGAGGAGAAAGGAAATTTGAAGTTCTTATAAATGACGTAAATATAAATGGGAAAAACTACACAATTGGGAGATATCTTTATCAATTTAGGCTATCTAAACAACTATTGCGATTTTTTTTGAACACTCGTGACTTAGTAAACGAATCGGGAGGTGGTAGAATTGAATATAGAACAAGCTAAATCCAAACAATATGACACCTTCATGGCATGATAGAAGTAATAAAAACAACGAACAGGTAAATAAACCATTAAATTGAAGCAGAGCATACCAAGAACAGTAAGACCAAAGTCACGAAAAAATGTACTCCGTAAATCATTTCAAGAGAGGAAAAAACATACAAATGTATATAATGAATGAAATGGAATATCATTTGAACATCTATCATCGCCTCATCGGAAGCAAGTAATTTATACTACGTAACTGACAGCCCTACGGCCTTTGAGTGGCTAACTTGATTTGTACCTGCTATTGTTGTGGAGAATGAGAAATGTGAGAGCTGGAAGGGAGAAGAAAAGGTGAAAGAATAATGATTTAATTAAATGAAGAGTACAATTAAGTCTCTAATAAAATATTAAAACTAACCCAAATTTCTAACGAAACTGGGAGTAGATCTTACGGCAACAAGGATGGCTTAACGTTGTTTTACATTCCCGTTAAAACATAAGCTACAATTGAGGTCAGATGTACAAGAAAGTAAACATGAGGTACACTCACTTTATGCATCAAGAGACACCAACACTTTTTTTATGACCGTTAAACCCCTAACAAAATTCTCTCTTATAATATGTTAGAGGTTAGAGATTTGAGCTATTAATATAAAAATTAAACTAAACAAACTATTAGAAAATCATTTAAACCAAGCATAATTGCCCTGGAACGATTGGAATGATGCGGACACGGCCATCTACGAAAGGAAAAAAAGATGAGACAAAGGCCGGCCATTAACGATGGAAGAAAAGAAGAGTAAACAGCTGCGACAGAAAAAAAATAAGAGGAGAAAGAGTAGGAGATGAGGAGGTAGAGAAGAAGATCAGAAGAGATCCGTAAGATTTTCGTCGGCGCTGGAGAGGATCTCTTTCCTCACTGTCTATCGTCTCTGTAGCGTCGGCTCAGACCTGTTGCCGCCGCTGCAATCACCGCCGGCGCCACGCAGCCGCACCGCCTCATCTCGTTAAGTTTCCGCGAGCTGCCTCTGTTGTCCCGTAAATTGCTCCCCCAATCCCCTGTCCTATGGCTGTGTTCTGTGTTCGCGAACTGGAAAAGGCAAAGGTAATATTATAATAGGGGTAAATTGGGAAGACACAGAAAAATAAGTCTTATTTAGGAGTTAAAAAGCTTGGACTGTTATTTAGGTATATTCAGTATATTTTGGTCCTATTTAGAACCATTTCTCTTTTTTGTTGGACTGTTTCCAGGGATGGGCCTTAACTGGCCCGAAACTGGTTGGTGACTTTTTTATGCGAGCCGGGGTCTGTCCTGTGCCGCTCTGATTAGGAGTGCGCATAAAAACTCGTAACCGATTAACTGTATAAAAAAAACGAAAAACGGTGTTTTTGTCGGTTAACCATACCGTGTTTTTAATAACTCGCGGTACGGTTGACCAATCGAAAGAAATAACGGTACATGTACGATTATGATTTTGAAATAAAACTATGTCGGTTAACCGATAATCCAAATTTAAGTTATTACATTCAAATTCAAAGTTAAGAATTGTTGATTGTGAAAAGAAGAAGCATGAATAAAAAAGAGTCGATACATACATAGCGTATCAAACTAGCTAAACATTCTTGGTTGTGCAGAGAAGCTCAAATGAAAAATGAAATGATGGATAAATACTCGATCATCTGACTAATTAGTTCACACTCCGTATATTCTAAACTATTTTATTTTATGTAAAAACTTAAGTTACAAATAAGTGTGGCGTATTTATTTGTTCTTGAGAAGATAATTGAACAATAGCAGTTCAATTGTATGAGCCTATGAGGTGGTGTAATTTTTGTTACAACTTGTTCGCTATTTTGTCGACATTGGCTTACATTTCAGGAGGAAGGCATTAAAAGTTACGTAATACTACGTAACTATTTAAAATGGTTTTTTGGTTAACCGATTAATGGTTAATCTATATTACGGTTAACCGTTACCCGTTTAACCGATGCTATGGTACGGTTAATGTTGTTAGAAATTTATTAATCGAAATCATAACCAAAAATTGGTTAACCGAAATGTGGTTAACCAACCTTGCCCGCCCCTAGCTTTGATGGTTGAACTAATCCATACAAATTCTCTCCCCCAACTATCCCCTCATGCCTATCCCCTCACGGGCGTGGGTGGGAGAAGGATGAATGGTTAGATACTATTCTAGTTAGATACTTATATTAGCTATCCCTTATAGTTTTAATTCATTGTAAGAATGTTATTTTGGATGATTTTTAATATACGACTTAACTTTCATTCAAAAAAACAATTTCAATAGCATTTTCGTAGTTCCAATTCTCTAACGTCACCTGCTCTGCATTCAACCCGACCCAAGTCAACTCTACCATGCTCCGACCAACGCAGAGAAGTTTGTGAAAGAGTCCCATCTCTAACTCCAACTCAACTTCCATAATCCTATCCAGCAAGCTAGCTTGATTAATTAAAGATTTTGGCGACTGACCGTGCTCGGTCAGCACCGAGAGCATCGCCACCGGCTGCCCGGTGGTCGGCGACCCTGTTGAAGAGTGCGGCGGACCGCGGGTAAGGATGAGTCCGCGAAAAAGGCCATTTCTGGAACTAGGTAATTACGTAATAAATTAGAGTCTGTTTATTAATCTTTATCTAGTACGGAGTATTTTTATTTACGACCCAAATTGATTTTTGGCCTGTAAATGGTAAACCACCCACATGTAACCTAACACGGCATAACGTGACGGTCCATATCATTTTTACTTGGCCTGTTTTCAATCTCACACCAAATCAAATCAAACTTAAACATAGGAGATCTGATCAGACTAGACTTGACTTCCGTAGTTATAAAATACAGAGATAGACACTTACTAGACCAAACCAGTTCAAATTAGATCAGACTTAAACAGATCAGACTTAAACATACCGCCATACCGGACCAGAAAATCAGAGCCCAAGTAATAACAGAGTAATGTATGTTCTTGAGTAATGTCTCTCATATCATGAGTTGACATTTGTTATATGTTACGTAATACTTCGTATGATCTTATGATGAGTGCGTGATGACACCAATCAACCAAGAAAACAAAGGTTATATATAGTGCTATTCAAATTAAAAGAAATCACCCAAGTGGACTTTTGGGTGTCAATTCTGCAGTTTCTCATTTAAAGTCCAATTGTTGGACGGCAAAGAATTTAGATTTTTTTGTCAAAGTTTCACTGAATATGAAATTAAGCATCGGATTTCATTTTGCATTAAGAGACCGTTTGAGAACACTGTTTTTCGGTATATCAGACTTATCAGCCTATTTTTTCACTAAATACGTAATTTTTACTTTCGCACACTTAATTGTGTAATAAGCCGAAAAAGTAAGGTTGGAGTTACTTTTCTGGCTGTATTGGCTGAAGTTACTGTAGATGTCCATTTTAACTATTTTTACATACTTCGTATAATTTTTTCTTTATTTTATTAATAAAATATATTTTCAAAATAATTTTTTCTTAAATCAGCAGAATCAGCCAATACAGCTACTTCAGCCTGAACATCATAAATTTCAGCAGAATCAGCCAAAACAGCCGATTTTGGTGCTACCAAACAGACTCTAAGATTGTGATTTTTTATTAGAAATATGTGGATATTCTTGATGTCGTTATGCAAGCACACATTTAGCCAAGAAGTTGAAAAGCAGAATATTCCATCACATTGCAAACCAAATATTCCTCTAAGCCTAGATATATGTAGCTGGAAAACAAGGAGCTTTAGAAGCTAAACAAAACAGATGGGGCAATCAATAAAAAAACAATTGTTTTACACACTTTTTTGTACACACTTCATATATCCGTCTGTGAATATGCTATTTTTTTCTATGAATAATATGTTCAAAGACAAAACATATTCTATGTGAACAAGTTATTAATACGGAGTAGAACACAACTTCTTATGTTCACATGTGTGTATAGTATATGAATGTGTACAAGAAGCATGGCTCATGAATAAACCTAGCTAATTAACTACTACATCTAAGCCTATATAGCTACCGGTACGTAGACATTATCATAGTCAGTGATGAGCAGAGTTACTGGAATGAATTGCGAAAGTAATCCATGTCATCATGATAGTAGGAAAGTGGCTGGAAACTCTGAATAAGTTCATCTGTTGAGTTGGCTCCCGAGTCTTCTTCTTTGTTTGCATCTTTCTTTCCAGAGAGGGTTTTCTTGTAGATCTTGCAAAGCACCCACTTGTCCAACTGAAACAAAAAATAAATATTATCTAAAAAATCATGCCCTTAAGTACCTATATATATATATATTGCACGGAAATGTGGGAAATGTCATTGTTTATTAAAAAAGAATTTATTCTACTTATGTTCCTAGTTTTATGTCAATTGCATATTTAGTCCACGACTTTCATTTTATCTACTTTTGATATTTGACTAATGTTTTTGACCATTTGTTGTCCTTTTCCGTAAATTTTAACCACCAGAAATTCAACATTGATGAAAGGGCTATATATACGAAGTATATGGGTGAAAACACATGAATAGTATTGTAGTAAAAATGGTCAAAGCTAAGTCAAAGACGTGGACTAATTGTAGAATTGATACAATACCCTTAAGACCAAAAATGTGATTTACTCTTCCAAACAACTGTTGATGAGTTTACAAACTGTTTCCGTATAATTTTCATTTTCCGAAACAAAAATGTACTCTTTCCTGAAAGTTTGCGTGCTGCATAGATTAGTACTATAATTAATCATGCATTTTTCTAGATCAATCAATACATGCATATTGGAGTATATATTTGATTAGCTAGGTACCATCATTCTTGGGTAATTGCCTCCCGCATTTGTTGATGTTGGGGCATCCACTCTATATTCATGCATGAGCCACGAGGTCTTTTTACCATTTGATGGCTTTCCTTCATAGAACACCAAACACTTTTTAAAGCCTATGGTCTTCCCCCCGTCTTGAATGGTTCTGTCCTTTCCGGTTGCCTTCCAGTACCCATTCGTAGACCCGGGTTCGGCACTCCCAGCCGCTCGTTTCGGTCTGCTTCCATTCGGGTACTTTTTCTCTCTCGATGTGAAAAAGTACCATTCGTTTTCTCCAACCATTGCATTGTTTACTGCATATTGATACATAATTTATTTAATTTGGAAGAACTAATTAACAAACTTTGATCCCGTCCAACAACTAGCATATATAATTAAAGACGAGTAAGGACTATTAGTACAGATTGTAGTCAAAAGATATAAAAATATTCAATGATTATATAAAACATACGCACAAATCATGCATGTTCAAGCTTCAAAGATTTGTAAAATTTGTTTTACATCATGATTATCAAGAATATATATGATAAATGAAGGCGTACGTACTATACAATGGCATGTATCCATTTCCAACTATGTGTAATTATTTCTCCTTAAAAGAAACACAAGTATAATTAATATATTATAAAGTTCCCGAAAAAAAAATTATAAAGTCCTCGCAAAAAAAAGATTACTTTATAAAGTCCTGGAAATATTATTACGGATTATATCATAGGAGTAATGTATGTACATATTGTAGCCGAAAGTTATAAAATATTCAATGATTATATAAAACATGCGTACAAATCATGCATGTTCAAGCTTCAAAGATTTGTAACATTTGTACTGTTCAATTCAATGGCATGTATCCATGGGCGGAGTTAAGGGCCATCCCTGGCCTGGCCCAGCCCAAATTTTAAAAATGTTTGTATTTTTAGTGTAAAAAATTTTGTGTAAAAAAAATTCAAAAAATATTCTTTTGTATCGGCCCAGTCCGGCCAAGTGCTCTAGCTCCAACATTGTATAATCATTTCTCCTTAAAAGAAACACAAGTAATATGCCGTAGAGATTAATTTATAAACTCCACGCCAAAAAAAGATTAATTTATAAAGTCCTCGCAAAAAAAAGATAAGTTATAAATTCCTCAAAAAAAATACGAAGTATTAATTTATAAAGATAGCACAGTACGTATAGTGCATGAATTCTTGATTTCTTTAAAATAGCCGCCTGAAGAATTTTTGAAGCCTTGAACGAGCAGATAATATATACATATTTGTTATTTCCGTTTATACATAATCATCGAATATTCAATAATGCATATATAATTAAGACAAACAAAAACACAAATAATATGCGTCACGGTTTATAAAGATTAGGGTTCATGAAATTAGAGAAATTATATGCATTTAATTTCTTAGTACATTATAAATAAATATAATTCTTTATAAGTGTAAAAAATTATACGAGTATATAATACATGATGAATAATATATTCAAAGTAAAACTTACCAGAAAGCTGCTCCGGGGTATGCTTGTAGAGTTCCACTTCCACAATTCGATTGGGAGGCAATTCCTTGTCCAGTATCTTCTTCTTGAGATATTCCAGAATGAGCTCTTTGTCAGTAGGGCGAAAGCAATAACCGGGAGGTAAATTGAAAGGATCTGCGGCGGCGGTGGGATGAATTCCGCCGCTGCCGGCAACATTTGCCGCCGGGGTAGACAGAGACGGCTGATTATTCGGGGAGGGAACCTCCATGGGAGGAAGAGGATAATTAGCCGCAATATTCTCTTGGGATAATCAGTTCTGTCACATCACGTGACTCGAGATATAAACAACAGTAATGATTTATTTGCTATTTAGTCCTTCGAAATTAACAATTGGCAAACATGGCTTGAGGAAAGATAAAACGGAGTAAAGAAAACAAAAATCATGGATGCGGGTGAACTTGTGAAAAGAGAAAGATATAGGGTGCAAAAAAAATTGCATCAAATTGTCCTTCAGATAAGTGTACCAAATTTAACGTTGCCAGATAGATACAATAATATTTATCCTAAAATCGATTAATAATTAATGAAGCACCTCTAGTAATCAATATCCTTATTATTCCGTAATTACTTTATCAAAATGAATTTTCGCGCCATACTCATGGCGGATTAGCACAACTTTTATGGCTTTTGTTTGTATCTTTTTATAAGTATAGACTACAGAATGCCTTTTTAACTTAGAACCCGGTAACACTGAACTCGGCTGAATCGATTGATCCTGCTGAAATTTATGAAGTTCTGGTTTAAGTGAATGTATTAGTTGATTACACTAATTTATGAAAAAAATAAATTTAAAATATAATTTTATTAATAAAATAAAAAGAAATTATACGTAAAATAGCTAAAATGATCTTCTACAGTAACTTCAGCCGAAACAACCAGAAAAGTAACTACTCCAACTTTACTTTTTCTTATTATTACACATTTCAGTGCGTGAAATCAAAAGTTACGTGTTTGATGAAAAAGTTGACTGATAAGTCTGATATGCCCAATACAAATGTTACCAAACGGGCTCATAATCTGTCAATAAACAAGCAACAGACGTAATCCGCCATTAATTATGGCAAATAGATATAGGTTCTGTCACTTCCGCCACTAATAAGTGACAAATTCAAATTTCATTAGCCAATTTCGCAACTTAATTATGAATTTCTTGTAATGAACTTTTCTATTTCATAGCTAGGCGAATTGAGTAAATGAATCGGTACATAAACGTATATAAGTTATATTTGATCATTTACCTTGAAGTTTTGTTCTCTTCTACACATAATTTGCGTATTATATATGGGTGTCTTCAAGCCTACGTACATCAAACACAACTTGACTAGCTTACACCTAATAAATTAGGCCAATATTTCAACAAATTATGTAGAGGATTTAATTTGTCTGTTAGTAAACAAAATTAAATTCTTTTGAGACAAACAAAGTATTACGAATTATATTATTTCCTTGATAGAGCATTTAAGAAAGACTTAATTCTGGCTCGTCTTTCCAAATCAGATGGACTTCCTCATAATAGGTTTTCTACTTCAAGAGTATGCTTCTTTTCTTGGTCCTAATTTGGTGTCTTGACATTTCACGAAGTAGTCTACTATTTCAGATCGTCTACTAATCGCTGCTGAATACAGAACTGTTGTAATTATTATACAAGACACACTGTGTACATGTCACTTTATTTTGTCATAATGTCTCGACTTCATATCTCTGTGTGGATCAGATCTAGCATGCTTGAGTAAGCACATTAATATTGATATCATTTCGTTCGAGTACGTGTGATTCATGGAGATCTCAAAGTTTGATATGTACTACACAAGTTCAGCTGGTATATAGTTTTATTAAGAGTTTGTTTCCACGGTGATTTATCTTTCTTCGAGACAATCTGCGCATAATTCCTTCATCACAAATTGAGGGGTGTAATAATAATGGCTACGAGAATGGTTAAGTTAGAATGTTATTTTCACTGATTTAAATCATAATAACAACCATTTCATAATATCTTGTGAGAATTATCTGCTTAAAAAATGTGAACAGAAACCTAGTGTTGATACTGTCATGTTAATTTTGAAATAAAACATGGAGAAAGGCTCAAATAAGTTTTTCTACTATTTTGAATTCATCGCATGTACTATTATACAAAATAATCTACAGAGTACTGTATAAGACACATTTTATTGGGTAACGTGAGTAAAAATGGTTAGAAACTCATCGGAAAAGAATCAACGAATGACCTACTATAGGGAGCCTAGTTGGTTAAATGTAGTGCGAGAAATAAACGAGATAAAAAAACTGTCAGAACTTCATTGAATAAAGTGTTGATTTAAAAAAAAAACATGTAAAGACGTGTACGTGTATAATGTGATATTGTGATATGTAGTTTCACAATATAGTTTCAATGTAGTTTTGTAATATGTAAATTTTAATGTAGTTTCTGAATATGTAAATTTTATTTACTAAAAATAATCTGAGTTTCACAGGGATCATTTAACTTTATCGTTGGTCAAACTTCGTAACCCGCAATTGGAAGTAAATTCAGGGACTGAAGAGTATATTTTTTTTATACAACGGAAGGAAAGCAAAAATAAAATCAGAATCTAATTTCTTCTAGTCCGTTTGCGTCTTCCCACAAAGTTTGTTTGATCCATTCCGGTGCTATTTCCAAAATAGACAAACCCTTCATGGCCTCATGCGCCGCATTTGCTAGCATGTCTGCACATTTATTGCCCTCCCGTAGCATATGTTGAAAAAGAATGAAACGGTCATCCTCAAGTAATCTCCTACAATCACGGATGAGCACCCCAGTAGCCGTTTTATGAGACGTTTGCGTACTTCTGACCACTTTAATCATGCTTTCTGAATCGCCCTCCACCATGACCCGACTAAGATTTAGATCACGAGCCAACAAAAGATCTTGCCGTAATCCCCAAAGTTCCGGTTGAAAACTATCCGTTTTCCCAATATTTAAAAGGAATCCACAAATCCAATCTCCTTTATGATTGCGAATAACACCGCCTGCCCCGGCATCCCTTTCACTCCCTCGACATGATCCATCACAGTTGAGTTTGAAGGTTCCTGCCTCTGGTGGTTGCCATTTGATAGTCCTAGGTACCCTCTTTTGTTTAATTCCATCAATCATACTCGAGCTAGTATACTCTTCAGCTTTAAATAACGCTGTTCCTATTACCCGGTCCACGTCCGGCAGAGTTTCTTGAAAGACTAGTGAGTTGCGTGCCTTCCAAATATACCAGACGATGTATGCAAATTTAGAAGCGTGCGGAGGTCGACCTCTAGTAACTGGCGCACCATGGCATTGCTTTCTAACCCACTCCAAAGAAGTAATGATATTCTCCTCTGCACCGGTGAAGTGACATGAAGAACGTCTCCAACACTCGATAGCAAATGAACAGTCCCGAAACAGGTGTAGAGCGGTTTCTTCCCCGCGATTACATATGGGGCAAAGACTATTCTCCGTAAGGTGACATTTAGCTCTTTCCGAGTTTGTTAGAATTTTATTCTTGATGACGATCCACAAGAAGCATCGAATTTTTTCTGCCGCACTGATTTTCCACAGCCACTCAAAGTCTATATTATCTTGTTTTTGAAATTCATTTTCATAGGCTGATTTCACTGTGAATGCACCATTTTTTTGATAATCTCCAGTAAAGGCTATCTCAGAAACCTTACTCCACTGGAATTGGGACTGCTCTCACTTTATCTACAACTTCCTCCGGAAGTAGCTCTTCTAGGTTTGCCACCTTCCAGCCCCGTTCATTATTAATGAAGTCTTCGACCATGACTAACTGTGATGTAGCAGGGAGGGGGGAACCAAGTTCCTCATGTAATGTTGTTTCACCCGCCCAATTATCAAACCAAAATGAGATATCCCTCCCTGTTCCAACCTGCCACCCCAAGCCATTACGTAAGGTATCCTTGCAACGAATTATATCCCGCCATACCTGAGAGGAACATGTTTTTCTTTCAGCCTCCCAAAAGGATCCAGTCCTCATATATTTAGCTTTCATGACTTTAACCCACAAATTTGGCGCATGCATAATGATTTACCATCCCAACTTTGCAAGCAAGGCTTTGTTACTTGCCTTTGCCTTTCGTAGTCCTAGCCCCCCCACTGATTTAGGCTGACAAACCTCATCCCAATTGATTAGGTGAATTTTTTGTGCTCCTTCACTACTACCCCATAGAAATTTCCTATTCAATCTATCAATGTTATGGCAAACACTGACAGGAAGGAGTACACTTTGCATGACATGTTGTGGTATTGCTGTCGTCACCGCTTGAATTAATGTTTTTCTGCCTGCAAAAGTAAGAGTTTTTTCTTTCCAAGCAGATAATTTTTTCTTCACACTATCCAGAATAAAGGAGTACTTATTGTTGGATTTTCTTCCATGCATAATAGGTGCTCCTAGATAAACACCGAGATTTGAAGTAGATTTGAAACCTGTCATGATTTGTAGTTCTCTGGCCTTCTCTCTTTCAAGATTTGGAGAGAAATAAATCATAGACTTTTCCTTGTTCACAATCAGCCCCGAAGCCATTGAAAAGGTTTCCAAGGCGTTTAAGACTCCCCTCATTTGACTATCAGAAGCCTCACCGAAGAGTAGTAAATCATCTGCAAAAAAGAGGTGGGAGAGCCTGACACCTGCTTTTCCAATCCTTAATGGTTTCCAGTTCTTAAGATTCACTTCTTTGCCTATGAGATGCGATAACCGTTCCATAGCCAAAATGAATAAGTGTGGTGAGAGGGGGTCTCCTTGTCGAAGGCCTCTATTTGGTTTGATATCTTGCATAACTTCTCCGTTCCAGATAATACCAATTTGGATATTCATCACAGAGTTCATGATCAAGTTTATAAATGCTTCCGGAAAGCCAAAGTCTTTCAAGGTGTTTTCAAGGAACCTCCAGTCCAAGCAATCATATGCTTTCTGAAGATCAAGCTTCATAATAAATCCACCTTTTTTGCCCCTTTTTGATTTGAGTGTATGGACAACCTCCTGTGTTAGAACAATGTTATCAGTTGTACTTCTCCCCGGAAGAAAACTGTTCTGGAACGGGCCGATCAAATCCCCAATCCAGTTCTTCATACGATTGACTAACAACTTAGAAACCACTTTATATACTACATTGAGTAGTGTTATGGGATGGAAGTTGTTAGCATCCTCCTGGATTTCACCCTTAGGTATTAGAACGAGATGAGCTTTCAAAATCTGTGTCGGGATAGTGCCTGTGAGCAGGGCGGTACTCACAAATTCTGTAATTGTTGGTCCCA